ACTGCGCGGGGTGTCACCCTGGAGAGTGAGGGGCAGCCTGACCGCACGGACGGGGAGTCTCCCCTCCGCTCTGCTCCCCACCTCCCACCGTGCTCTTCCCTCCCCCAAAGTGTCTCCCTTGGAAAGCCTCCGTGGCTGCGGATGCAAACCATGGGCAAGAGAAGCGCCGCTCCCAGCGCCCATCGCACTGGGTCGAAAGATCTTTTCAGAAATACTTGGAGCATAAAACTAGTAGCGAGTGCTCCAGCGGCAGGTCCTCTCCCCCCGCCTTCTTCTTGCAGGCTCACGAGTTCCTGCTGGGAAGAGTGCCGCCTGCGGGACTGCCTGAAACTGCTCGGCGTCTTAAATGCCTTGCACTGCCTAGACCTGAGAAGGCAGATGTCTGACTTCACTCTCCCCAGTTCTACTTGGCTTGATTATGAGGGTGGAAAAATATATATATACTGTGTCAAAACTATGCTTTCATCATGCCAGTCATATCAAATAATAAAAAGGAGGTTTGCATAGTTAATACTCCTTAAATTTGCTATCCTTAGCCAAGGAAACCCAAGCTATCTTTTCTGGAAAACATCTTCCTTCTTTGGTCAGCTCTTACAGACTAGAACTAAGATCATAGCTCTTAAAATAAGAATTGTGTCAGTTTCTAGAGTCTAATGGTTGTTAACTTGTCAGAAATATTCATAATTCTTTTTAGACACATCTGATGGATTGAAACTCACAAAAGCAAATTTTGAATCAATCTGTTTCTCCTACCTTTAAGTCTCATGAATAGAATACAATGCAGTATACAGTGTTCTAGGGAATGGTTACTATAATATTGCACAATAATTCATAGTACCTTGTGCACCTCAACTTACTTTCCATCCTATGTCCACTGTAATATTAAAAAGTAATCATATTCAAAGAGGAGGAGACTCCATGGAAGGGTAGTGGCTAATGCAAAGGTCTAGAAATCTAGGAGATACTGTGTAAAGAAATTGCAGACATTTGGGAGAGAAATAAATTGTTGTGCTCTAGATCATTAGCTAATAGCTGCTAACTAATAGGGGTTAGGAACTTCCACTCTGGATGGTTATTCCATGACCTCCTGTTAACACTTTTATTTTTCTGTGAACTGAGCAGCTGATACTGGCTCCCACTCAAGTAAGGCCCTGGACCACAAGAGGGATTTGGGAATAAGGCAAGAATTGCCCTGTATTCTTTTTCTTAATCTTTCACTTAATCTGATGAGCAAGTTATTTGCATCTAAGTGGTTGTAATTGTGGTTTAAACCACTAAAATAGCAGCATTTTCTACCCATAGACAGACTGTGCTGACCAATTAGAAATCAATAGTATGTCCTTCATCTGTCAGATCATGAAACCAAGGCAGAGAGTCCTGGAAGTAATTTGTCTTTCCATGCAATGGAAATAAGGCACACCTATATCCTGTGTCCCATATGTAGGTCTTCTCTACTGGGTCCCATCTCTCCCAAAGTAACATGGCATGAAAGCAGAAGCACCTCTGCAGTGTTCCTTTGTTATGACAACAAATTGTGTCTCTTTGTAATTCACCAACCTAGTGATGAACACTCTGAAATGAACACAAGATGAGGGATAACTTTACCTAAATTGCTGAGACTGAGGGGAATTAATTTTCGTGCTGCCAGTTTGCTGCCTAAACCATGAAACTTCACCATAAATTGACTCTTGCAGCTCAGGCTCATTCCCTGAATACCATCTATCCTCACTGCTAAATGTAGCAAAGACCTTCATGAATAGTAGAAAATAGCAGCCATTTAATTGAGACTATATCATAATGTATACGTGCAAGAAGACCAAAACAGGATTAACCAGGGAACTGTAATTCTGGCCTCTCAAGACTTGCTTTAACAAAATTTCATCACTTTAAATAATTTAAAGTAGTTTCTCTGCATATTTGTTTCTCACAAATGTGTTATCAGAAATACCATATAAATCTGTTTTGCTAATCTTTATTTACTACAATGCAACATTCTTCTATGTGGATTATGTACTAAAAGCTAATAAATCCTTGGCCACTTGCCTTTTTGTCCTCTACCAATCTCTTGTGTGTATCCTCCACACAACTTGCCTATATTCCTAACTTGGGCCTGTCTGCAGTAATCAGAGGTAGATAAAACAAATAAATTATTAGCAACTTTAATGTATACAGCTAGTACCATTCAACTCTGACCTGGAAAAGGTAGCAGTGCTTGGTTGGCAGGCAGGTAAAAGCCTGACTGAACTTATGCAAGATGAAAATATGACTATGGTCCATCCAAAACTCAAATCTTCTCAATTCCTAGCAAGTCTGTACTTCAGGCTTCTGGCTTTTCAGTAGTTGCTGATTCACAGATTCTTCTTCTGTTCTACAATGAATTTTGAATTTTGAAGTGTTTGTTTCACTCTAGAATGCAAAATTAATTTAGATGAATTCAAACTCCCTTTCTCTGGGCTATTTTTACAATTACCATCCCATCTGAAACATGGAAATGCTGGTGTTTGAATCATCTTTATCCCAACAACACGTGTCACAGTTTGTATCTATAGAGCTGATGGTGCTAGGAGCATTCTACTACTACAAGAAGTAGTAAAAAATTGAACTGTACATGGCTGAGGTGGAGAGAAGCAGTGAATAGACTTCTTTTTAAGAACATATGCTTCTGAAATGAACAGACATTAATAAAGCCTGATGTTATAAGGAAAGTACTATGTTTTCTTCCTAGTCGTGGAAAATAGTCTAGCAGTCTTGTGAAATTTCTGTGCTTCAAAGTCTTGAATAGAATCTAAACTCTTAAGTTCTTCCATAGTATGAGCACCTGTGCCTCTGACTAGTGTTGATTAAAAGTTTACTAAGAGGAACCTTGTCCTGAACTGACAGAAACAAATAGGTTCTTATCACAGAATGCTGTTTCTTTTAGCCTCGATGCCATCTTTGAAACCATTATTTGGACATCGCTGCAAGCTGTTCCACTTCACTCTATCAGGGACAAAACACAGATGGTATAGATAGAAATTGTATACTTGGATATTTCTACTCTCAGACTGTCTGTGTGGGCCTGGGATTAATGGACATCCTAACCTGCTGTACTTTAGTCCAAATCATGGTTCTATCCAACATGAACTGGGAAACAGCAAGCACCAGATTAGGGAGATGCAGCACTATTGATTTCCCTCTTTCAAATGTAACTGCATAAAAGGAAGAATGTTCTGACAGGTGATAGTTAATAGTCCTGCCTTTCTGTTGTTGCCAAAATTTCTGTGGCTTATCATCCATAGTGCACTGAAAAACAAACCTAAGTGTTTCTGGGAAGCCTGGCTCTTGGGTTTGATGGGTTTGGATTGGGTTGGGGGGGGGAAGTTTCCTTCCTTATGCCAGAGAATTTTCAGGTATGTCAAAAAGGGCTGCCAGAGGGCTGGTCCACTAGAGATAATGAAAGATGCAAACTTGTCCACTGTAATCCTATGATGCATTCTAAGTAGCAGTCTGAACTTGTGAGAATGGAATCACTTCTTGGTTCTGCCCTCACTTTCCCATAAAGTGTTGAACTAGTAAAATTAGAAAAAAACCCAACTTTTTGCAGTCATAGACTGTGAGGGCATTGTCTTTTATTCTGGGATTACATTTTACAGGCGGGGTTTCTACTGTTTAAACAAACATGGTATAAACAGTTATTAGTGTAAAATTGCTCATCTTCCTTGAGAGGAGGGTAAAAATGCAAGCTGAGCACAAACTCTTCAACTAGCAAAATAAAAAGCTTTATCAAATGGAGTTTGAATTTAAAGAGTCAGCTCCTATTCCATAATAGTTGTCACTAACTTCAAGCAGATCAAAACACAAGCCTTAGAAATCAAATATGTTTTACAGTGCTTTAAACAAAGCTCCTACGTGATGTGTACTCATTGGAGTAACAGCCCCCAAAATGTGTCATACTGCTTACTTCCAGCCCCCTCATGAAATGTCTCTTGTGCACTATTTACAGATGATGAACTTCATATGCTGCTGTCCACAGAGTGAGCCCCCAGAGATCTTGCAGGAATCTCCAGTCAGCTTTACATTAGACCATGTTGAATACTAACTGTAAACCTGTTTTCTGCCAGTATACTCAGCAAGGTCCTGCTCTGAGCTTTGCCACAGGCAAATTTGACAGAGTCTCTCAGCCTGACTTTGTTATAAATGCACTAGAAGCAAGCATTGCTTTTCTTGCCTGCCAGGAATGAAAGGCAGTCTGAAACTAAAAATCTCTGGAAAGTGTTTTATATGTAAAAAAGATGCCCAGTATGTTGGACAATCCCAATGTTATTGGAATATTGCTATTAAATAGTTAAAAGGTTTTTTCTTCCTCTTATTCGCCATAGTTTTAAGGTGAAGTGGCATGCTCACTATGCTAAATGATTTAAAGTGAAAAGCAACATTTGTTAATTCAGTTATATGGAAAGAAGGGTTTGACTACCTTTTTTGGTCTGGGATCTATATCCATGTTTTCCTTGCTTTCTTGCAGAATTCTTGGCCCAGAAGCCCTTGTACTGCTTCAACCTGACATCCATGCAGGATTCAGAGATGATCCTTGCTGCCACTTTTCACTTCTATGCTGATAAACGCTCTCGGCACCGGGAAGCGTTTTGTAAACGGTCCAAGAATTCATCCTGCCGCCTCCTTCACCTGCCTCCGGTCCTACGGCTCAACCTCATTTTCCAAAGCATTCACCAGAATTCTGCCTATGGACTAGTGAAAGGGAACATCACTGTGCTTCTTCAAAGGCGAGGGGCTTGGCATGCAAAGGACATTTCCCACATCATAAAAGAATCAAAACGGGCTGGAGAGCTCATTCTCTGTGCTGAGCTTGATTCTGGGGAGAAACAGCAGGGTTTCCCTGAACAAGTTGCCAGTCATTTACCTTATATACTAGTTTATGCCAATGATCTTGCAATCTCTGAACCTAACAGCGTGGCAGGCACCCTACAGCGTTATGATCCATTCCCTTCCAATGATGGGGACCCAAATCTATCCCCTAATGCTTCTACTGATACTCGAGTTAGGAGGGATACATACCTCGCTAGCTCTATTCAGAACAATGAGTTGCCAGAAGTAGATTACAACAACAATAAATACAACAAACATGACATATGGGAGAATGCCTACAGATCCTTGAAACCGAAAGCCTCACGCAAAGATCGAAGGAGAAAAGGGCAAGAAAATACAGAAACACTTAAAAAGTCTCAGGTGCTAAATTTTGATGAGAAAACAATGAAGAAAGCAAGGCGAAAACAATGGAATGAGCCAAGGATTTGTTCAAGAAGATACATGAAAGTTGACTTTGCTGATATTGGCTGGAATGAATGGATCATATCTCCCAAATCATTTGATGCCTACTACTGTGCAGGGGCATGTGAATTTCCAATGCCCAAGGTAGTATGCCTTTTTGTTCTTGTCAGCTTGCAAACAGCGGGCTTTCTGTAAGGCGAAAACAATGGAATGAGCCAAGGATTTGTTCAAGAAGATACATGAAAGTTGACTTTGCTGATATTGGCTGGAATGAATGGATCATATCTCCCAAATCATTTGATGCCTACTACTGTGCAGGGGCATGTGAATTTCCAATGCCCAAGGTAGTATGCCTTTTTGTTCTTGTCAGCTTGCAAACAGCGGGCTTTCTGTTCTGCTTATCCATTCTTTCCCTTCTAGATTTACTTTTTTCACTGTGTTCTGTTGCCTTGTTCAGCCTAAATAATTTAAGCAATATAGTTTCCTTCAACTTATTCATCAGAGTGCAAAAATATCCCAAGTTTTCTTTAAATGTAATCTGAAGGATAAGAAAAATACCTCAGGTTTATCTTACAGTTTCTCATCTTCTATCTTGACAGCATAGCATAAGGACTTACACAGCTGATTAAAATATGGCTACACACACTAAGTTATCAAACTAAGCTGTTGTGGTAGCAGAAGGATGAAGTATTATGTACTAATAAAAAAACCTGCTGTATCAGAGTATTTCTGGATTCCACTTGTAATACTTTTGAATAAAAATGCAGAGTAGTGACATGAGGTATTTTTAACTTTAAGAAAATGCTTGTCCCTTTTGAAAATAAGAATGTTGGTATACATGGTATTTGTGTATCAAAATTATCTGGTTTTGGGGGGGGTTTATTTACTAAATTAAGATAACCCTGCTAGAACAAAAGAGTTAATTTACCTTATGAGGCTGCAAATGCCACATAGCTGTCTGTAACACTCTGAAACAAGCATGCTGAATTCCTGCTATAGAAGCAGTGTGAAATTTGCTAATAGAGAGGCAAACATTTGTCCTACTCCCATTCTGTGCTCCATTGCAAGAAGTAGAAATTTGGCAATCCTAGATAGGACAAGAATTACTTGCATCTTATAGGACTTTCAAGTAAGGGGAGAATTGGAAGCACTGCATAAGCTACATATTTAAAAACTCATTATTTTGCAATTCTACCTACAAATGACCTGATTATTTATTCTACTGACATTTTTGCATGTGGTCATTTGGCACTTAAATAATGGATAGTGTTTTACAGCAGAGAATTTCAAAGCTCTGAGACAGGAATTTGCCCTACTTTACATACAGAGAGATTGATGTATGTTTGTGTTGAAACAAGTAGCATGATTTCCAGAATAGTAGATATGCAGGCTAGTTTTAAGTCCAGAAGCAGTGAAAATCCAGAGTTCATGGTAGACTGTACAAATCTGACCATATGTTTGTATGTAACTGATCAGTGCTGAACAGTGTATACATAAACTGATACATGGTCTGGTAAAAATTAAAGCTTGCACAGACTCACATACAACTTCACTTTGTTGTTGTTGTTGTACTATAAAGAGATCATACAACACAATCACCATTTAACTTATCCAAAACAAAACACAGCCTGGCAATGTGGCTCCTTTGACCTAGTCCCACAGTCTAATGCACCATTCATACACAACAACTACAAAAAACCAAACCAAAAAAACCCCTCAAACAACAACCCACACACCTCACCCTCCAACCCCCCAAAAAGAGGCTTCTTGTGAGCAAAACAGCATGATACAAAAGCTAAAATGACCAGAAGAGGGTGGATCCATTTCTAACTGGAATTCTTAAATGAGTTTATATTGCTCACTTATTAAATATCTTACCTAGAAATATTACTTGGTATATAATAGTGATTCCCTTGTAAATCAAAAGCACTTACTTTAGTGTTCATTTTGATACCTGTTTTCTAGATAAATTTATATGGCTGCACTAATATCTTGGTGCCCCAAAACCAAAACAAGCAAAAAAAAGAAGAAAACAGGAAGTTAAAACTAAATCACAGATAGACAGATGTGGGGATGTTGGGTTTCAAACACTCATCAACTGGGTTTGCTTTGGAAGAGGTCTACTTTTTGTTATCTTTGTATTTTTAAAAGGGGAAAATAGAGGCAGAATCACAGTTGTAGCTTTTTTTAATGACTGTTTCTAAAAGAACAGAGATAGCAGGACACCAGCATGAATCAAGATTCAGTTCAGAGCATATGAACTACTAAATATGATGGAGGGAGAAATAGCTTTTGTTCTTGCATGTATGTCCTTAGTCAGAAAAGTATGCACCTAATCTTGGCACTCCTAAATCAAAGGCCAGATTAAGGCTATTCATGAGGACTTGGTCTACATAGTAAACATAAGATAGACAAGTGACAACTTATTTCCAAGGTATTCTTTTAGAACTGTGGAGATAGAATTATGTACCTGGCATGTTAAGAATCATCACATTGTATGATTTCGGGTTTTTTTTTATGTGTCAGTACATAATTCTGCACATCTACTTTAATAACTGCAATTCTTGATTTAGATACATAACAGCTCTGGTACAAATCTTGTCATAGCAAGTTCACTTACGTTACTGCTGAATTTCTTATTCCCTGAACTGTGAGGAGGAAAACTAGCTTAGGTGTCTGGCTGCAGTGCTGCACTTGCCAAATGAATTCCAGTCCTACGTGTGGTAAAACCTGGTCTGCTGTATATAACTTAGCAGCCAGCATTTAAAACATTAGCACTTCCTCAGTGCCATCACTACTGGGCATTCAACTAATTATTTCAAGCTTTCTACTTTAGCACATTGGTACAAAGGCTAATGTGAAGCCTGGCCCTTGATCACTGAACACTCATGCCAGGTTTCCAGAAGGGCTGGAAAATTTGGAGCCTGGCTGGATGTGGGATGGGTGTGCTGTCTGGCTCTGCTGTGGATATAGGGCTCAGGCAGCCAAATTCTGTAGAGAGTGCTGGTCCATCATAAGCATTTTTCTCTATAAGCATTTTTTTGCATAGTGTATCCACTTGCAGGCACTAGAAACCTAATTAATGCTGTTGAATTGGGAGAGAGCTGCTCACACTAGACTTTACTTACATCTATTTGTTCATTGCAGATATTACAGACTGCAGATATTAGAGATCTTCTAGAGAAGATCCTAGTAGGATCTGATGCAGGTTCACAGCCAGGAATCCTCTAAGTCAGTAACTGGCACTGAGGACAGTGATGGCTCTCTGCTGCATGGGGTCAACAAATCCTGTTTCAGTAGCACATCGTGATCTGTGACTGTTTCAAATAACAGTGTGAAATAGCACAGGTGCTAGGAACACTTCAGGAGGGTTTTCATAAAGGTTAAATTAAGATCTTGATTCTAGAAGCTCTGGTTCTCTGAATGTCTAAACTCTGCAGTTGCTTAAACACACACAGGCTCCATCTGTCTCTCTTGCTGTCTAGATGTGCTGACATGACCCATGCGGATAGAAGCTGATTTCTACTTCACACAGCAGCTGTGAGACTATCTCAGTGCTGCCTGTCTGTGGACAGCTTTGAAATGTAAAGATGAAGGGGGGAATGAGAGAGCAAGCTGTTGCTAATTATGCTAGCATATGCTAATTACAGAAAGGCACTTTGCAGGATTGGTCACTTGTTGGGACTTGGCTATAGGGATGCTGTCTCAAAGCCCAGAAGGGTCAAGGACAGATTTCACAGTTCTTTCCTTGTAATGTCTTAATTAAGCAAGATCTGAAAGCCTTAGTGACAATTAAGGTTTGAGTCTGATTTGCTGATATGTTGCACTTAACACAAATGTATCAAAACTGAATTATCCTGAAAAATAGCTCCTTTCCTATATCTGTGGACTACATAATTTTTCATGTTGAAATGGAAAATCATGTTTAGCGTATACTTATATGGTTGAAAAATAGAGAAGATACAGGAGACAATAATTCTTTGCGCTTGAAGTATCTACTTCCATGTGGAGGTGTGCAAAGTCCCTATTTGTTGTTCCACAGATGTCATTTTCCACCCGGTATACAGCTGTGTACCAACAGTGATGAAAGATTCCATGTGTCACATGTACCAGATATGTGCAGATATGAGAAAAGTCATGAAACTGTAGCAAAAAGGCTGATATGACTAACACAGTTTTCCTACTGTTATTGTACCCATTTGCTGGTACAGTATTCAAGCATGACAACAGCACAGGAGTCACTGAAGCTTCAGTCTCAGTGGTGGGCTGCATGCCATGCTATTGCCTCATGGGGCACATTCATCCCATGTTATGCTGAAGCAATGACAAGGAAAAGCTGTCACTGTCACTGGTAAACCTGTGCTTGACTGTATGGACCTCAAGCAACAGAAGTGGTGAAAACTGCATACTCCCACTCTTCAGTTGCTCAGACTACAAGGGTCTAGTGTAGCTCATGGGAAAAAAAGGGGAGGAAAAAGTTACATTAAACTACTAAACAGTATACTATTCATGTATGTTAGCTTTTTCCTCTTCTTACTCTCACTGCTGTTATACCTAGTGGCTGCCTCCTCTTCCCAAATGTTTTTCCTTGTGTTGTTAACTGCATGCAAAAGTCAATAGTAGAACTAAAATTGTGGCTCAGTACCCTGAACAGTATATAGATGCAAAGCTGCTGTGATACTTCATACTTTTCCTGACCTCTTAGCCTTTTTCTTTCTTGTATTTGTCATGCAATTATGATCAGAAAGGCTCTGTCAGGCTGTTTGACTGTTCTAGACTAACTTGCTCCTGTGGACACTACTTCTGGAGCACTCTGCTCTTTTAAAAGAGAGTAATTACTCCAGGAAAAAGTAACTAATTCCAGGTTAGTGTACACGAGGAGAAATTCTAGTGGAACCTAGGGATAGTTATTTTGGAAATACTTAGAGTAGCCAATTTTCCAAGTCAGACAAGAGGTTAAGAAAACAAACTACAACATCTTGCAACTGAGAAGTGTGCCCCACCTAACCTTTTTCTCCTGCACGTCTGCCTCCGGCATCTAGCAGGTACATTCAGGGACATTCTTTCTTCTGCTGCTGGCTGCTGGCTGTGCCACCAGTGCCCTCCTCTGGTATTTACGAAGGCAGCATAAGGACCACAAAATATCTGCCGGATACACCCAGCACAGGAAAGCTGGAAGTGTGAGGGACTGTGCTGCATGGCCCTGTGATTCAATCACGTATATTTGCTTTGCTGAGAAACAAAGAAACATAATTGTTGTGATTTTTCAAGTCCACCTGGGAAAGTGACTGCTCGTAAATGAAGCAATAACTGTTTCCTTCTCTTTTCCAGATTGTCCGGCCATCAAATCATGCTACAATTCAGAGCATCGTAAAAGCAGTAGGAATCATTCCTGGCATCCCAGAACCCTGCTGTGTTCCTGACAAAATGAGTTCACTCAGTGTCCTGTTCTTAGATGAGAACAAAAACGTTGTTTTAAAGGTATATCCCAACATGTCAGTTGAAACTTGTGCCTGCCGATAAGTTCGCCCAAACACACCTTTAAGTAGACCCACACGTCCTGCCCGACTACACTGGGAAGTTGTAAATGAGAAATGAATCCACTTGTACTCATGAACAAATGCCAGTCTACAATTGCTCTACAGAAAGCATGCAGAGAGACTAAAACAATACACGTGCTCTCCCGGAAGGATATGTCTTACTGTCAGCATTTGTCTTTCATATTCATCTGCCAGAAATTCAATACTTTTACAGATTCTTTCTAACCCGCCTAGCCAAGACACCTGATGTTTAGTGAGAAATTTAAGTGTAAAGTTTTCCATAATCAAAGGACTAAAATATGTTTTTATATGCTATTTTCTGACTATTTTATCTCTTCAGTTAACCAAGAGGATGGGAAGTAAACTTGCAAAGGCAGGCTTATTTTAGAATATCACTTCTGTACACAAATCAATTTGCCTAAAACACTCATACTTTTAATCTGCATATTTATACTGAGAAAAAAAAGCTGTAATAAAGGGCTTAAAATGTATATTTTCTTCAGGATGCAAGTATAGTTCACTGCATAAGCTTTCATATAAACAATATGTTAATATAGCCATTTTTGGTTACCTTTCCCTAATATATAATTTGTTCTACAAAAGACATGTAATATCCCACAGTTTTGGTTTGCTGGATAATTTCAGGTTGTTAAACATATTCTCTGAATAACACATACAGTATAGTAATATGTTGAAATACTAAAAATAAAATAACCAAGATTTATATTTTTGTAAATTATACTTTATATCCTCTAGATTGTTACATGCTTTTAACAAAAGCTAATAAATTAAAGGTACAGTAGTATCTAAACATATTTGAAGTGTCTTTCTATAAATGCAATCTCTTACATTCTCTTAATTAGATGGAAACATGTAAATACATGTTAAGCTTGTCATAATGCACCTCAATAGATTAAAGACAAGAAAATACTATGATCATCTAGACCAACCTCCTGCGTAGCAGAGATCAAAGAAACTTGCTCAGCAGTTTCTGCACCATGCATTATGGAACTTCTGTTTTGAGCTTGGGAATATCTTTGAAAAACATGCATAAATTTGGCTTTAAAGACTTCATGTGTTAGAATATCTCTACTGGACTACAAGTACTTGTTCCAAAAGTTAGTGCTCTTTGTTGATATGCAGTGGCTTAATCCTAGACTGAATTTGATGAGCTTTAGCTTCAATTCAATGGATCTTACTGTAACCTATTTTATTAGATCCCTTTTATCTATTATCCAAAATACTTCCACTGTGTATTTTTAGTGTACAGAGTAGAGTCAAATTACATTTTGGCTAGGATTTAAATAGATACTTTGATTTCTTATTCTAAGCCTCAAAACAATTTCTCACAGCTCTCTTCTGAACTCTTTCCAGAACTTTCATTAACTTTCTTTTCAAACAATGAACATCAAAATGGGAAACATTTGGCAGTGGTTTCATTAGAAGTCTTTATAGAAATAAAGTCTCTGCATCCCTCTAACTTCTGTACAATCCTCTGCTGATACAATTATGGTAGCCCTTGTAAGTGCAGCACTCCTTCAAGAGCTGATGTTCCAGCATTGTGTCTGTCAGTCCTTTTTCTCAGTGTCCCTGTGTGCTAGGACATACTTCATTTCCAGGCACCTGCTGTGAAACAGGATAAGCAGACCAACAGTGGAACAAACTTCTGAAGTCTGTGAGGTAGCACAGAGGGTGAGATATGGAGTGTTTCCTCAAGAGACAGTCTAACCTTATGCACTATCTTATCCTATTAAGAGTTGCATTGTTTAGGGGAAAGATACTACATGCACCATCTTCTGATGAATGACTAACTGGAAGGTTCCTGTTCTGCTGAGGTGCTAGGTAACTTCTCCCACCCATATTCCATATTCAGGTGGTGCAGATTCCCAGACAACACAGGTATGTAAATGTGATACTTCCTGCTAAGCTACGTATAAGTGAGATTCAGCATGTATAGGAAGAAGTCTTTGCAAGGATACTCTCACAGCAGTTCTTGTTAATTCCTCCTAACAGTTCTAAGAAGTAGATAGATCTAAGGTGCCCTGTAGTGACTGACAACAGATCACAGTTCCAGCTAGACAGTTGTTCTTCTTCCAAAGTACTTTTGTACTTTGTAAATTGCTGCAGTAGTTTACACTGGAACTGTTGGGACTGACCTATAGACCCCTGAAAGGCTAAGACTGCATTTAAAGTTCTGTTGGCAAAACTATACTGTTAAGGATGGGCAAAACAAAACTATACCTGTAAGTGTCATCTGTCTCAAGGCATACTCTTACTACACACTCAATACAAATCTCTTATTAGTAAAGCTTATTTCATTTGGAGCTTACTTGTACTGATCAATTCTCTAATGTGAACAAGGTCTTAATATTTGTTTAGTGGTTTAAGCTACTGCTTCCTGGACCTTTGGTATTTGGATATCTAATCTTCCTGTAGAAAGAGAAACTTTGCCTTTGAAATGGCACAAATGCAGTCAGCTGCTGCCAGAAGACACTGATACCATTACTCTCTTGGTTCCAACAGGTCTTTCAATTTATATGAACATCCTATAAACCACTCAGCTCAACATTTAAGTTTCTGGAAAAAGTTACTATTGACAAATATTTACAGGTCGAGATAATGCCACTAACTAATCCTAAAAGAACTGAGGATATATTAACATGGGATGATTAAAGACATATAAAACATGAAAACAGCTGATAGTATCCAGCAAAGTGTTAAGGACTATTTTTTCTTAAAACAAATCCAATTTCTTTCTTTGAGGCCACAGTTTCATTGCCAGAGGTAACATCAACAGCTAGAATGTACCTAGTTTTTTGTGGGGTATTCCAATTCACTTGCATGAGGCTGCATAATTAAAAGAAACCTCTGGACAATATTAATATATTTGTGTATCACATGAATTAACAACTGTCTCAATGCCAGACCTCAAAGAACAGCTTTCAAAAGGAATTGCCACTGGATTAAACTGCTCATTGTAAAGTTTCTGCAAAGCTGACACTTGGCCTGACACTATTTGACATCTTTATGTATGAACTAGAAGTCTGTACGTAACAACCCCCACAGCATTTGCAGAAGGAGAGAGGTATTTATATAGATCACTTGAACTAGCTATATTTGTATACTTAAAATTAATTTTAAAGTAGACGGATGCAGAACTGTGGGTACCTAGGCACAAGGAATGGAAGCTGCTTCTACTGAGTAAAAGACTGAAAACCATAACTCTGAAAAAAAGATTTTTGTGGAGATCATGGATTTATGGTGCAGTGTGAGCATCCAGGGTGATGCTGTGTAATGACAGCTAATGAAAGATTTATATAGATACACACTGGACTAGTGAACCACATAAGGAAAGGAGATTTTATTTCTGCATGTGGCACTGGTGGGCTGCCACTAGAAAACTAAGTATAGCCCTAAGGTTCACCTTTTCAAAAAGACACTCAAATTCTGAGAGACACACACGCACACAAACAAATCCAGTTAGAGAAAATGTCTTATGTGACTAAAAAGCACAATCTGCTTATTTTATCAGAAAGCAAACTGAGAAGTAACTTGATTACACTGTGCAAGCACTTGGACAGGGAGAAAATGTCAGCACTGTGGGACTCCTTAAACTAGCCAGAAAGCTGCAAGAATTCCTGTCTAGAAGGTAAAGTCAGGCACAATGAAATAATAAATGAAGCACCATGCTACAAAGATTGAAGAAATCTTTGATTCTTTGACATGTTCAGGTAAAGTCTGGAGACACCTAAAAAGTTATGTTTAGCCATACATAAGTAATTGGACCCTACATGAAGGTAGGAAACAAAAAGGCCTTGAGTAAAACAATAGTCTCGCTATGCAGGAGACCAGAATCAATGCCAAATAATCCTTTTTGACTTTATGTCATAGGAACGCAATTAATAAGGATCTTGGATCCCAGTTATCACTTGAACAGACACATAAATGAGCATTTCAGAAGTCTGGGATCACTTTAAATGCTGTGTATGCTAGAAAACTGGAGAAGAATGGTCAGAAAGGGAAAAATCTAGACCATATCTTTGCAATGAGATTGTTTTTTTAATGTGAAAGCTCATAATTACTGTTCAGACTTTATGACGTGTACAGGGTAGATTGAGTAGTGCTTAAGAAAAAAATGATGGATTAATAGTACAGATAAAGCAATTATGTATCATTAGACTAAATCATAATGTATTCATTAAGATTAATAACAAGTGATATTTTTGTCTATAAATAAACCTGCTTATTTTCTTCTGTATCATGAGAAATTTTATCATCAGTCTTGTATTTTTGCCTTGGCCCATTCTTCTCATGGATTAAGTATCTTCATAGATAATCTTCTGTATCTTCTCAAAGAGCTTTTACTTTCCACGTGGCCTTAGAAGGCCTAGTTCTATCTTCATTTTGAGGTCACTGAAAAAATGACTGGTTGTTCTTGGATTGGATTGACCATCATGAATCTATGAAATATATTACGTAAGATACTATAAAAACAAACCTAAAATTCCCATACACCAAAGGAATCAAACTGAAAATGGACAAGCCTGCAAACAACATGAAGCAAACTTGACAGAAAACAGATATTTCACTGTGTACAAACAATAGCTCTTGGCTGATAAACGGAAAGAAGTTTTAAGGTTGTTTGTATTGTCATGAGATCATGTCTTGCAGAATCACAGGTCTCCATCAAATGATCAGGAATTTTCTGATTGCATGTGAAGGGACTGTAAAAAAGATTTGTGAGATGTTATTTACTAATAGCTAATACAGTGATTTTGTTCTAGATCTCTGTTTTCTAGTCTTGATGAAAACAGTGTAACCCTCTGCGTCCCTAAGAAAGCTTCTCTCTGTGTTGGCAAGGAAATGATAGAAGAATGTAATTAAGCAAAGATGACCCTAAAGTGAAATGTGGATTCTTTACAATATACAATGTCCTTCCCACCAGCCACATGTGTTTGTCAGATGTTTACAGAATCTTCATTAACTAAGAGCTCTGCCTGATAACAGAAGCTGAAGCATGGCATCAATGACTCTGATAAGGGCAAGTGTACGACCAATCTGCTTGACAACTGACAAGAGGCTGGGGCTTGAAGCAGACTGCAAAAAGAACACAAGAAAGTGATTTGCAAAGGGCATTCCAGTTGTTTGCCTTACATCTCCTTTCCTCTGTCTGTAATGGAACAAGAGTGTTAATCAGCTAAAATATCATTGTCCTCTTGTCTCTCCACCAGAAAGCAAATATAGAAGAAATGCATTATTTTGGAGTATTAGCTGCACTGTCTGTTTTCAACATCATTGCTTGTTTGACAAGAGGCAAGCCTTTGGAAGACTGGGACAAATATTCAGCTATGGGAAAGTCTGATGCACACTTTCATGATCCTGGGGAAGTGGAAGATGAGACCCATTTCGACTTTAAATCTTTCCTGGAGAATATGAAGGCAGATTTACTAAGGAGCTTGAATTTGTCAAGAGTCCCCTCACAAGTGAAGACCAAAGAAGAACCACCACAGTTCATGATTGATTTATACAACAGATATGCTGCAGACAAGTCTTCCATCCCTGCATCCAATATTGTAAGGAGCTTCAGTACTGAAGGTAGGAGAAGTCCTAAATATTTTGACTAGAAATTTTAAAGTACATGGACACTAGATACTCAGATTCCTTTGGAATTTGGAAGTATTGAGTGCCTAACTTCCACAGATTCTTTAGAAATGAAACATTAAAGTTTAGAATTGCAGTCTTGCTCTGTAGTTTCTTTCAGTCTTTAAAAAATACAATTACCTTTAGTTTTCATCTTTGATATTTTCACTTTACAATATTCTCAAACTCTTCAACTGAGATTATGCACTGAATAACAGAGTATACATGAGTCATGTTTCTCAACCCTAGAGATTTGGAACTGAGTTAAAATATTAGAATGCAAACATTTGATCACCTATAATTGGGACATCAGTGCTAGAGTTCTTCTTTCAGGTGGGCTCTTTGGATATTTAAAAACTGCAGCAGTCAACTGAGAAATGTGTCTCCAGATCCAAGCAAGGAACAGCAGTGCTTCTCCAAAATTCTGGGTTAGACAGAAATACTCATATGGAAATGAATAGTCATGCTTGTCTCAACTGAGAAAATTCAAGATCCCTGTCTATGTAGCACTAAATAGACTTTTTAAAGCTACATCAAAAGAAGCAGTAAAAAAGTTATAAGTAAATGCATTCCTTGTGATAAAATTCAAATTTGGTGAATTGAAGTTTCTGTTTATATGAAGAATATACACAGGTAACAGCACTATGGAGAACTCCAAATTCCCACATTAGTGCCTTTAGTCCTGAAATGGAAAGAGACCTTAATGGTATGACTTAGATTATAGTTTCCATATCTCTTCTGTGACTGCTTAAGTAGGTAAATGCTCTGAAGAAGTAGTAGCAATAGCCGATTAAAATTGCCCTAAAACCAATCATAATTAAGCAATTAGTTTGCATTGAGCATTAAATAAGCATCAGTCGTGACTTATAAACACTACCAATCTGGCCTCCCAACCAAATATCTGCCCCTTGCAAGGCAGATGATACTGCACACAGATTTGCAGAAAACAAACAAACAAACCCACACAAGCTCAGTGAGCCCAGCCTGGAAGGGACTGAGACCTGGGCATGAAAGTCTGTTTATCACCAAGTCTCAATTTAGATAGACCCTGAATCTTCAATGCAGTATTTTCAAAAGCTTTTCTATTTCCCCAGACTCCTAGTAATCCAAGCTGCTTTCAAAGTTATCTGAAGACAACAACAAAAGCCTCAGCACAGATAGTTCTTAAGTATGGTATTAGGAGAGAAGTTCATCTCAGTGCATGATGATAAGAGTAGGAAATTCATGGAGATTTTTAGGAATTCTTCATGTAAAAATATCTTTAGGAAATTGCTAAATCTGAAAACTCTGCTCACGCCTTATTTATGTACTTGATACTGACCAGCATCATCCACAGCTTGTTCTAGGAAGCCTCTTTATGCTCCCCCTTCACTGGCTATGCAATCTTGGTGAAATTCTACCACCACCAGAGCCTTCCATTTCCTCTTTTCATTCTCTGCCCTTGAAAGTAACCAGAAGACAGTATTTTGTTTTTTTTAATGCTGTGTTGCCATGCTCTTATTTTACTCCTGAAATACATCCTGAGTCTTTTTAAAGCACGGTACTTGGACAGTCAGAAGAACTGTAACCACGTGTTTTAATTTCCTATTGCAGATGTTGTTTCTTTAGATTCACCAGAAGAAAATCCATTTCAGAAACACATTTTGTTCTTCAACATCTCTATTCCACAATATGAGGAAATCACCAGAGCTGAACTGAGAATTCATATCTCCTGTCACAGGGAAGTTGGGTCTCTCTTTAGGCCAGAAGGCAACATGGTCATTTATGATGTTCTAGATGATGGCTACTGGGAAAACCCAGAAAGTACCAAGTCTTTCCTTGTCTCCCACAATATCCAGAAGTGTGGCTGGGAGATGTTTGAAGTGTCCAGTGCTGTGAAAAGATGGGTCAGGGCAGACAAACTGAAGACCAAAAACAAGATAGAGGTTGTTCTAGAGAGTAAAGCTCTGGGTGGTTTCACTTGTGGGAAACTGGGTATCAGTGTTACCCCTGACACTAAAAATCTGCCCCTGTTAATAGTGTTCTCCAATGACCGCAGCAATGGAACAAAGGAGACCAAAGTGGAGCTCCGGGAGATGATTGTTCATGAACAAGAAAGTGTGCTAAAGAAATTAGGAAAGAACAACACATCATCTGAAGAGGAAGAACAGGGAGAGGAAAAGGCCATCACTGGGCCCCACCAGCATTCCTCCAGAAGCAAGAGAAGCATTGGAGCCAATCACTGCCGGAGAACTTCCCTCCATGTGAACTTTGAAGAGATTGGCTGGGATTCCTGGATCATTGCACCAAAAGATTATGAGGCTTTTGAGTGTAAAGGAGGTTGCTTCTTCCCTCTGACAGATAATGTTACCCCAACAAAACATGCTATTGTCCAAACTCTGGTGCACCTCCAAAACCCAAAGAAAGCCTCTAAGGCCTGTTGTGTTCCAACCAAACTGGATTCAATCTCCATTCTTTATAAGGATGATGCTGGTGTGCCCACTTTGATATATAACTATGAAGGGATGAAAGTGGCAGAATGTGGCTGCAGGTAGTATACAAGGCAGAATCTCTAAGAATAAGAATAATCCCTTCTTCTGTTCTGTGTAAATCTGTATGATAGTGATGCAAATGAAAACACATACAAAAAGGGTTTGGAGCAGGGTATGGAGCTGGTTGTTGTTGTTGCTGCTTGTTTTAAATGAAAACTGACATTTAAAGAATGGTAATCATTGTAAATAGCCTGCATTATATATCATGGCAAAGAGAATACTGGATTAAAATATTGTGAAATTTAATGAACTATGCATTATTGGGCAACAGTGATACAATTTGGATACCTTATTTCAACCTTTCTGTTTAATCAAATCTGTTTAGGTCACAAATTACAGATTTTCAACAGTGATTTAAGATGTTCTGCAGATGTTCAATAGCTATTGAAATCTAATTCTTTCAGCCGACCCTGACATTTTCAACTGCTGCAAAACTCAGTAAACGGAATGCAGTCTGCATGATAAAGTCAGGAGTCTAAATCCAGGAAGCCTTTTCTCATACCAGTAATCTCAGAGGCTTTTACAGGCAAATTATTTGGTCCTGTAAGTGAAGATTTGCAGTATTCAAAACAGAAGAGACTCTCAGTGTTATTTCATCCCCAAGTTTCCTTCTGTGGGTAGCAGGTGCCTTAGTTTCAGCTTTGTTATCCTCAGCGTCCCTATTTTTACCCCTTTATGGCACATACTTGAATGATAAGAAGTGCAGCCTTCCGCTTCTAAGACACTGTTTCTTAGGAGGAGCAGCAGCCCTTATCTCTGCACAAAGATAAGGAGCCACTTTGACCTACTGCATATTCTTAGTATTTCTTTGCAAGAACATGCAGTCAAATGGCATTCAGCCTCAGGAGCTGTACCCTAGGAGCAGTGGGGGTTGGCAGAGCTCAGCACTTTTGAAAAGCCCAGGCTACTTATACAGAGGCCTAAATGTGTTGTTCAGAGTCTGACATAAGGTTATGATTTGTTTAAAATTTCTTCTTAGAAGAAATTCTATTTTACATACAAAATTCTTTCACCCCCTAGAAGTCTGGGTCAAAAAATGGAAAACTTCTGTGTTCTATTCTTATATTGCTGTATGAGAAATATACTATCATACAATATTTCTCCTGACTTCAGTTGTATTTTCACTAAACAAGGACCGCATCTTTCCTGCAATTAAAGTAAACTTCCTTTGATGCTAATGAAGGTTTTGCCTGTACAGGAACAGACAAAGTGTCTTCTGTTGGTTGCAGGTGACTGGTGTAAGTGCAGTACAATGCCACCATAGTCCACCTCACTTCTACTCCTTCACCACCTTACACATACACACAAAATCTATCAGAGAACACTTTTGAACCAAACCCACAGCAAATTGAATATTGATGAGGCAAAAAATCTAAACAGTAGCTTAATGTATGGAAGCAACAGGATTTAAATTGATACATATGTTTTAAATTAGGACAGCCTGTGGGCAAGACGAATTCATTTGGCATGAACAGGTCAGCTTGAAATTTAATACATAGTTTATTTACTATTGTTAACTTAATATAGAGCAAATAGCAGGTGAATGTGAGCAGGGCAGTTGTAATTCCATCAAGATCTGCTGGTTACATCACAGACCATGAGCACAAAGCACAATTCACCAGAATCCTTGAAATGATTTATAGGCTTTTCCTTTAGAACTGATCTGAAACTGGATCAGATCCGAGACCTGGGTTCATGCAAATTCTGTCCATCCATAGCTGCATGTGCAGCTTCCCACAGCAGTCCTCTCATTTTACCACTCCCCACTGGCTTCTGTCATCTTACAGTCATTGTTATGTCTTCTTCCTGTCAGAACTCCCTGTATTCTCTCCGTTTTGCTTATTTCTCCTAAGCTCCTGACATTTTGCACAACTTCTCTTCATCAAGTAAAAGAAACCACCAAGCAAACACTTGGTGCGATCACATCAGAAAAGTTATCCACCCTTGTGTCAAGGTAATTGTAGCCGTGTGCCCTTCAGTCACCAAAACACAAGGTCCAGTTATATTTTGACTTCACTAAGCACAGGCTTTTGTCTATAATTGAATGAAAAAATGGGTAACGGATAAAATCGGTCCTTACATCTTCACAGAGAAATTCTCAAGAATCAATATTTTTTTCACTTTCTGAAGTCAAAATTGATTTATTTCCCAAACTTATTTGAAGTGGAACAAAACAAAAAAAAAACTCAAATCCATTTTTGGCTCAGAACCTCAGATTCTAGAAATTCTATCAGAATTCCAGAGTAGTTCTACATATGCCATCCCAAAACTGGACTTCAAGTCACTTTTGTATTTCAATTTAAAAAAAAAATCAATGGAACTTCCAGCCAGCTTTAACAATCACATTCCATTGGCTTAACATTTTGGTTGGTATGATAGTAAAATGAAATATTAATCTTTCCATAGGGTGAAGAACAGGGTCAAGAAGAAATGAGAACCCAGTAGTGCGTACAGCTGCTACTACCTTCAGCATGGCTGAAACGCGTGACAAATTGATGTTTGGTTTTACATTTAACAGCTTGATTTATGTTGGTTTGAGCATTTGATTTTTAAACAATTGTTTGAGTTCCCTCATGCGTCAACTACTTTGGGATGCAACAAATCAGCCAGGTGGTCAAGATGGTGTTGGAGCATATACAGGTTGCAAAGGTAAGCACCTTGCCCCTGCTTCAAGCTGAGACACCGAGAAAAACACCTCTCATCACTGGATTATGAATGTCGACCAGCAGCTTGCTGAGGAGCAGGTTGGGGTTTGTGCACTGTTCAGCAGAGGCACAGTTAAAATTATAAACCTATTTGCTTAACATGAACATGTGGCAGACACATGACTGCCTTCCCAGGCCCATTTGCTATCTGTGCAACAGTCCTGTAACATCAGAATCACCTGCTGACTCCACAGCCAATTTTAAGGCTAACCTGTAGCACTTCAGTCTGAACAGATAAACATGGTAAGCTGGTGGAAGTTGGTCAGGAGATATAGCTGTTGCTATTTTTACATAGCTTCCCACCTTGTCTGTGTACACAGCAGACACAATGTCCTCTGACCTCATCCTCATCTCCATGCAATGTCCCAACACAGAACAGCTGGTGCTACTTAACACAGCAGCAGCGATCACTAAAAAGATCTCCATTTTCACTATTCTTTTCCACAGGTGAAGAGGCAATAACCTTATGGGAATCTGGAGGTGTTTGGCTGGTATCTGCTCAGACATCTTTATACTGTAAAGATCCTGACAATTAGAAATATTAAGCTAGAATTAACAATTCCTGATATTCAGAATAAAAGGTTTTAGATGCCTGTCAAGGAGACGCATCATTTCAGACACAACTCTGCTCTGACACAGTAAGCACTGCTTCCAGATCACAGTTGATTCTTCTTTCCAGGCTCCTCAGAGCCTGCCCATTGCCACAGGGGCAATGCACACAGGTGCACAGCCATGCACCACATAGATCTGCACAGGCACACACTGTGACCTCCAGGGAATATCAGAACCTTGTTGTAGCTGCTCATAGGCAGCACTGAATCGTTTTGTTACTGCAGAGTTGTAAGGTACAGGGTGGTAACACAGAACAAGTTGGCAAAGTCACCAACTAGTAAATGAACAATGTCTGTGAGGCAAAGACCCTGTCCTCAAATTGCATAACTGCTCCACATCAGCTCTGGCTGCTCTGAACAGCTAATGCGACATTGCATGTGGCCACTAACCACCTTCCCTCACCCGTGTTAACTCCCCAACATATCATGTGTTTGGCAGAGTCAAACACAAGGCAGGTCCCTCCACAGTCTCTAGAGTGCTCAAGGCTCAAGGAGCTGTGCCCTCCATCTGCAAGTTGTGTGGCTCTGACTGCCCGAGGAGCAAACCTCCTCCATGCCTCCCCTACTCTGTGGCCCAGAAACCACCTCAGGCATCTTTTGCCTCTCTTCAGCCTTCAGTGCTTTTCCTAAGCTCTGCCTCTGTGCTGCCTCGGTGCCACCGATGGGCTGTGAGGGGCTCTGTGCTGCCTCGGTGACAGCTCCAGGCTGCAGCATGCTGCTGTACCAGCTCGGTTCAGGATGCCACAGCCATCTCCATACATTTTCTTACTCTTCCTCCCATAGGACTTTAAAACCTCTCAGCTTAAAGGTGTGTCCTGCTGTCTCACTCTGGGCTGCCCACCACCTCTTTTGCCCTCTCCATGTCTCTGAGCTGTCACACTGCCTTGTTGTCCATCCCAGCCAAAACCAGCACACTTGTCTGCAGCAGCTGCTGCCTCCAGGGTGCCTCAGGAACATGTTGTCCCTCTGAGCTGTTCCTGTTTCCTGTTTTGTCATCTCCCTTGAAACTTCTGCTGGTCCATCAAGTCATAATTCAGCTAAAAGCCTTACAGGAGAATGGCTTCAGTGTAGTCCTGGCAAGTGGGATACCCCTGATTTGTCCCTCTGCTAAGACATACGGTTTGTCTGGAGCCTGGCAGACCTGCCATTAACTCTCACAAAAGCCTTGACACTGTCCCAGCTCACCAAAGCTGCTGAGGGAGCACATCCTGGCAGCCTGGGCCATGGTACTGGGCATGCAACCAGAGCTTCTGTTCCAGCAATGGGAGAGGAACCTAAGTTCTTCAGTACACAGGTAAAGATGGTAACAACTAACTACACTGCTTAGGATGCCAACAGCTGAGATGTGCAGGGCACTTCCATACATCAGCATGGCAGCCAGCAGTGCCAGGATGAGTTTGGCCAGTCGTCAGGAGGGTCAGGTCCTCAGCAGCACCATCTGTAGGAATCAGATCGGTTTGGCCACTAAAGCTGCTGAGGTGACTGGAGCTCTCACTGCTTCAAATAACTTCAGAATAGGAGGTCTTGATGCAGTATTTAATATTCAGTATATACACTTCCATACATCAGCATGGCAGCCAGCAGTGCCAGGATGAGTTTGGCCAGTCGTCAGGAGGGTCAGGTCCTCAGCAGCACCATCTGTAGGAATCAGATCGGTTTGGCCACTAAAGCTGCTGAGGTGACTGGAGCTCTCACTGCTTCAAATAACTTCAGAATAGGAGGTCTTGATGCAGTATTTAATATTCAGTATATAGGCTAACT